TGGCTAGTAATGGATTGTCATCATTTCTATAGTCCAGTCAACAGCTACATGACAGTATGCTCTTTTGTGAATAGATTTCATATTATTTGGTTCACTTACTCTGATGAAATCTATGGCAATGTACTTAATTATTAATATAATATTTGATTTCATCTCATTTCTAATTATTGTTCACTTTATCTAAGCTTGATCTTCTGTTTGTGATATATTATATGGAACGTCCACAATTTACAATAACATACAGTATCTGAATCCGAGTAAAGCATCCAATTTCATCATCTACATCACACCAACCAACAAAAAGGTCAATTTTACATTCTTCGCAATAATAAATAAATATTATTCAGAGGGGGAGAAGGGGGCGAAACCCACGCCTCACTTGTATCAGCCACTCCAACCAACAAAAAGGTCAATTTTACATTCTTCAGAATAATAAATAAATATATGCTGTTATTTAGAGGGGTGGGGAAAAGGGGGCGAAATCTAGACCCCCACCCCTATCGGCCACTCCAAACAACAAAAGGGTCAATTTTACATTCTTCAGAATAATAAATAAATATATACTATTATTTAGAGGGGTGAGGGTAGAAGGGGGCGAAACCTAAGCCCCCGCCTGTATCCGCCACTAACAATAAGGCGTTTACAAAATAAAATCGGTTTTAGCGCCATACATTTGCAACAACCGAGATAATGAAAACGGGGCATGTCATACAGTATGCCATTAGGAAAAATTTGCCCGGACAGCGGAATGTACATAGAGGGGAGAAGGGGGCGAAACCTATGCCACCGCCTGTATCCGCCACTAACAATAAGGCGTTTATAAAATGAAATCGGATTTAGCGCCATACATTTTGCACCAACTGGGATAATGAAAACGGGGCATGTCAATGTCATACAATATGCTATTAGGGAATTTTTGCCCGGACAGCGGCGTGTACGTAGAATTCCAAAAGCTCCCGTCCTCATTTTCCCCATGATTGCCAAAGGTTCTTTAACGTATATGCCATCGTATACACGAGACCGGATGACTAGAGGCTGGTTGTTAACAAACCCTCCGTTCTGCACTACTGGCAATCCCAAGGAACGTCCTCGGTCAACACCGGGATTGAATCCGGGGCCTGCTGTTTTAATAATTAAGAGCTGGTGCTTACACAATGTGCCCTTCTTCATTAGCCCAGAACAGTAGGACGTTAAATCCCATTTCATTTCATTTCATTTTCCCAATGCGCCATGGTGGTTCCATAGTGCTTGCACTTACGGATCAAGAGGCTTGATCTGGTATTGCGCATGTAGCTTGGGTGAAAAGGCATCCGTGACGTATCTATCATTCAAACAACTTAAATCCGTCAGTCTTAATACCGAAGTGGGGACCGGTGCCCCCAAGCTGTATTATGTGGTGTCTGGATAAAACCAGACTTTTATTTTATAAAAATAATGTGCAGGTGAAATTTACCTTTCGTTATCAAGTACAGCACATGGGTCATTCACTGTATAAACCGCTAAAGGAAGGGGAGTCGATTATCAGGTCACCCAACGAAAGAATTGACCCAAAATCTTAAAAGGGTTACGTGTCCGGATAAGCAGTTTTGACGTTCACGTCCAAATGACTCAATACTTTCAGCTGACATTTTTAGACAGGGTAAATACACCATTCCTCTATATTTTGGCGCTTAAATTTCATACGTACCCGGACTTTTATTTTTGAGACTTTGTTCAATTCGGGATAGGCCCTTTAATCATGTTGCTTCCTGTTTTTTGTGACCTTCTCATTAAGCCAGATGTTCATTATATCATATTTTTTTCTGTTATGCAAGATCTTTCTCGACGTTCTAAAGTAAAAGTTCGGTGGTAAGACCACCTAAAAATACATTTTAAATGTTCCTATTATTAATTATAACAGGTTTCGCTTTAGTGTTTAATTTTTTTCACTGAGATTTATTGCTTTAAATCTTCCTGGTGCTAAAACGGAAAATTTCACCTTATGTCCTCTAGGGCCACAAAGAACAAAGGTGAATTTAGCAAGTTTACATTTTTATTGAAAGGGTGATTACTTTCGATCCCTTTCAGCTTATTTTCATGATACAAGAATGACTGCGCATTCACTTTCAGTGCAAATAAACTAATTTGACCTTTGACCCCGAATATCTCGAAAACGCCCCAACGGCGGACTGATTACCACCCGGCATCGTATTCTACGCGAAGTTTTACTATAGAAAAGTTGAGTCTGGTTTTGTGCCCATTTGGTGGACACCCCTCCGCATTGAGCCTCCAGACTATTAGTATAAATCTTTGATTTTGTGTTGTATTTTCTGTATATTTATTTATTTATGCTTATGACAGTATATACCTACGTATTTTATTGAGAAATGTATTGTATGTTGCATATATATACCTATCACTGTTTGTAAATAAAACAAATAAGACACCTAGGCTTAGCGTGACTCCCGAAGCAAACCCCGAGGCAAACGGTACCGTAGTAGCTACCGAGGCAAACCGTGACTACAGAGGCGAAACGGACTCTAGGACAATTCGTACCCAGATAATTCGTCTCGCGAAAACTCGTCCCCGAGGACAATTCGTCACCAGACAATTCGTCCCAGGACTATTAGTCCCATAAGACTATTCGTCCCCTAGAGTTATTCGTCCAGGTCATTATCCGGGGACGAATAGTCTCAGGGACCGAATTGTCCGGGAACGAGTTGTCAGGGGACAAGTTGTCCGGGACGAATTGCCCGGTACCCGGCGAACCGTGACTACCGAAAAAAGGTGCGATAAATGGGGTTTAACGTCCACTCGACACAAACTAGGTCATTTCGGGACTAACATATTGTTCAATTTCATTTCAATAATTTGCGTATGGATCTTTAGCAATGGGAGGAAACCGAAGGACCCGGAAAAAACCCACGAGGTTGGACAGGCGACCCTCCTCCTTGTCACGTAACAGCAGGGAACCGAAACTATGTTACAGATTTTAGAACCAACTCGAAAGTTTCTTAACGCCTTATAGGCACCGGTCAGGTTGATATTATGTCCATAAAACATTCCACCTACTATCGTAAAAATAGTTTAAAAACACCAAAAATCATCTAAATTGTACTTGTGTCCAGTTTAAAGCTGACTGATTAATTTTGGTAATGAGTGTCCAATTTACAAGTATTTAGTTTCCTGACCACTGTTCAAAAATTAATCATTATACATCATTAATGAATTGGGTTGTTTATTTTTTAACATTGATTGAGAAGTTAAACACTCGTAAATTGGACACTCATTATCAATATTGAATGGTCAGCTTTAAACTAGACAGAAGTACGAATTAAACGATTTATGGTGATTTTAAACAGTTTTTATGAATTTTTAAACACAGATTGGATATTAAACGAATGTTAAAGAAATTAGTGCTAGATACACAAGATTAAATAATACCTGGGGCCTATTTCACGAAATTTTAACTGAAGATAAAATCCAAATTTTAGTAGAAACTTCAATTTTGATTGGCTAAGCACTAAAATCAATCTAATATTATCCAATCAAATTACTTAAAAATGGATTTTATCTTAGTTTAAATTTCGTGAAACAGGCTCCTGGGTTACAATACTCAGCGCGATCAAGAATTATTCCTGCATTGTAGCATGGATTTGTTGGTCCCTCGTCTTTACAGCTGCCATTTCACCTTATTAATATGGTGGTCGAGTGGTCCGACCTGTGCACTTGCAGATCATGTAGTCTGTCATTGAGTCAACCCCGTGGATTTTCTGTGGGTCTTCCGACTCCTAAAGACCCCCACGCTCAAGAGTGTTATTGAAATAAAGTTGTCCCAAAATTACCGGGGGGGGGGGGGGCGCAATTTTAAACTAAAATCGTACCATTTTGGAAACAAATGTAATGTTTCCTCTCATCCAGATCGTTACTGTCTTACAATAATAATGTTTCTGTTTCAAAGAATCAGAAAGTTGCCAAATAGACAGACGAGATTCCTTGAAGTCCGAACTCCAATACACACAGATATCTCTACAACAAGGTCAAAGTTCTGGAAAACAAAGTGTCGGAAAACGTGTTTTTTATATCGATATTAAATGAAAATACGTGCCAGTTGATAAAGTTAAAGTGATATCATTAAATTAGCAGTGAACGGCCAGCTAATCAGGTTAAGTCACTCTACTAAACAACTGTTAAGGGGAAATTAACCCCATCTATAGGACTATTAGTTAGTCATAACTCGATCAACCATACCCTAGTTAAATCTTTACACATAAATGGTGATTAATTTTTAGCAGATCAACAACATTTATGATTTTATTAGATAAAGACAAATAAATAAAATGCTTTGGATTAGTCCAGTATCAGCAGAACAAGGCCAGTCATTAGCGCTTATTAACACATCCGCGGGCGTCTTTTCTGACACACAGCACGTGTAACCATCAATGGAACTTGCGCGCCTCGCACAACCTCTTCCGTGACCACGGCTTAAGTTTTCACAGTGCCATAACTCGGCGTGTAATTGGAACCAGAAACGTGTCCAAGGTCTCATTGGCGATGGATTACGTCGGAAACGATTTGTAGCTTTTAACATTGAGAAATTCTTGATTGGAATAGTTTTCCCTGATAGTTGGTCCAGTCAACGATAAACAACAATTATAGTTTTAGTGATTAATTACTTGAGAGCGGACGAAATAGCTGCTCTCTCTTATATCTCTTACAACGGAACGAATCGATCATAATATTCCACTATCGTCTTCGGTACAAATTACGGTTTTGGCACGGCTCAATATTCTAGTTGAGTTCAATGCTAAGCTTGCGGCTGTGTTGAAAGCGAAGAGGGTTACGTATACCAAATTCACATTTACAAATCGGTGCATAATCAGATACAGTATTTATGCGAGAATCTACAAGTGGCTCGCGCCACGCGGGGCTGTTGATTCCCGTCAGCTCTGCCAAAATGAGCTAATTCGCTGTGGGCATGCGTAGAAAGACCTTTACTGTTAAAATCGCAACATGGCGGCTAACGGGTCAGCTTTTAGCAGACGAGTGTTTCCATGTTTTATTGCGGTGTTATTAATTCCTGGAAGATTTCGTGGATAAACGGATACCGATTATGCCAAAAGTGAAATATTCTGATGTTGGATGGAAATAGCGGATTCTTTAACAACTTTTATTACTGTTTTAGTGTTTTGTATTGATAGCATTCGTTATCGTTTTTCTGAAAATTCTTGGAGTGGTTCTTCTTGTGAAAAATTGTCGAGAAAAATTTGATCATGTTATTGGTTCGTACCGGTATTGAGTTTGGATAAATATATGAATATCCGCAGTATTCTAGCGGATTTTTTCATGATTGTTCCAAAGTCTCTGCCCCCGGTTAATCTAAATGAACTATGCGTATGCTTTGCCGTAATGGGGCCCGGCTATTTGAGATTCCATTGGAAGTCCTCTCTAAGCAGTGGCGGAAAGCCGTTTTTTGTCTGATAATTGCAATCTATTGGGCGGCTGATGGATTAGTGTCATGTGTTCCCCTATCGTCGTCGTCTGCTAATCACTTTGCTAATTCATTTGCAAGTTACAAAAGTAATTCTTCAGACCAGTGCCTTTATTTAACGAAAAATCAAAGCATGAGAATATGTGATGTGCAAGTTTCAGAAAGAAACAAAATGATACGGAATTACAGGTTAAAATTCTGTTCTTCGTATAATTTATTTCATATAATAAGTGTTTCCGATATGGCTCGACCATGTCGCTTGAAGGGCTCCAAAAATGACTGCTCGGGCTGTCTTAACAGCTTAGTTGAATTGGACGAGGATATTTACAAAACGTTTTACGGATTTGAGGAATTACTCGATAGATTTGACTGCAACACAGCATTTTCTGTGAAATGGAATTGTTCACACTGTAAGGTAAGTGATGTTGATGTTAATTATTTCGTTGTTTTGATCTTTTTCATGGCACATTGGTACATGCTTCTGCAATGGGCATTGGCAAATCGCAATGTCTTTTTGGCTCGCGGCACGCGCCAGCTGTGCGGAGGATTCAGACGCTGTGAATGTAAATGGATTGGCCACTGTCTTATGGACACATTATAGATAGGTTTAGTGATTTTGACATAATGCAATTTTGACCCAAGAAGAAAATTTCCGCCCGGCATATCGTGTTTGTCTTGAAATTATTAGACACTGTCAGGTGGTCGTGACACATAGGAACGGTGCAAGTATCGCTCGCGCGGGTCTCGTGCTTGAAACCGACAAGAAACTGTCATACGCACGGGCACTGATTCTTTTGAAAAGAAAACGACTTGGATCGATAATGTATTCATAGCCCGTTCCCCGTCGTATAATAAGATGGATGTAATAAGAATTGAACAAGAGGCGAGGATTATCCTACTACGACCAGTAGAGTAATTTCCAGCGTCAGAATAAAATCTAATTCCGAGACTTTACTCCAATAAATCTGGTTCTGTAGCCGAATTGTTTTAGTAAACTATTTTTGGCAGCATTTCACCTGTGTCACCTTGAGCCGAATTTATTTATTAATTTTTTTTTTTGCACATCAGTTTTAACTTCTGGGTCTGGAACCAATAATTATCACAAACATAATTTCGTTTTTGTTTTTTTATTATTTAAAATTAATGCACAAACTGAATATAAATATTTAATGATTTTGTTGGGATATTTTTTTAAACATGTACATGTCTTGGACAGGTGGCCTGTTTGCTTTTTTTTCTGTTTTTTTTTTTTCATTTTTTTTAGAAGAAAAAATAATAATAAACATTTTAACACATCTGTTCTGTTTGTCAGTGTCATGTTTACAGGATTTTTTATTTGTAGCAGTGATTTTAACTCTTTCATATTTTTTATTTTATTCATAAAAATCTATCTCTACAATTATTTTATACTTTTAAATATTCTGAATGTTAAAGAATATTTTATTAAAAATGATCATCAACGGTCCATATTGTACAACACAAGGCTTCTACACTCAAATCTATCAAGCCTAAAATTTATTTTATTAGCAATGTCCTGGGTCAGTTAGGAAAATCCTTTAAATTTTGTTTTTAAAATTCATAGTAATGACAATGTGATGCCACCCACACACATATTGTGGCCTTTTGAAGACACAGATTCAAGTTTGTGGGTGGCCTAAAAAAATATCTTGTGTACAAAAACATACATGATTTATATAAAAACAAATTCTTGTTTAATATTATTTTTCTTTCAGAGTCCATAACAAAATTATTTCAGGAGAAAAAAACTGACTTAGATTTGTATTTGAATTTGGATATACTTTTTCACATTATTTGCAGTTTTATTTCAAAGATTTTTTTTGCAATATTGTGTCAAAATAAAAATAAACATTTGGATTTATATTAGAATTTTATACATGTAGGCCTACATGTACATAGATCTACTTTCTGAGCATATAGATGCCAACATATAGGCACCAAAACTGTTGTAAATGCCTTTTTTGAAGGACCTCCCACCCCCACCCATTTCAGGTGTTGTGGCAAAATGGTGTCACTTTATCATGTCCTTAAGTGAAATTATAAAAGTAAACTTTTCACATAAAATATAACTTTTTGTGATTTGAAGACACCAAAACTGGGGTTTAACCTCTACACGACACAAGCTAGGTCATTTCGTGACCAACATATGGTTAATTTTATTTCAATAATTCACTTGTGCATAGGAGTCTTTAGCAATGGGAGGAAGGAAACCAGAGGACCCAGAGAAAACCCACAAGTTTAGACTGGTGGTAGAAAGTAATGTTCAAATGAAATTATGTCCTGTTTCTCAAACTGTCTCTTTGACGTTTTAATTTAGGATTTGTAAAAATCTTTTAGCAGGTGTCATGGAGTTGTAATTAATATTATTTTCAAATTAGGTCTCACAAAGAAAAAGAAAAATTGTCCTCACAGACAAGAAAAATTGAGAACTATTGATGTCTGTGGTATGCTTTGATCTACTGACTAGTACATGTAGGTGTCTCGCAGACAAAGTAAAATAAATTTTACCGCCCTCTGACAGACAGGAATAAATGAAAACTATTGATGCCACTTTTCCTTTGATGGCTTGACAAGTAGTTCGCCATAATTTCCATAATCTTCATAGTTGTGCCCCACTTTCCCCTCCTTCAAAGTCATGTCCTGGTACAACACCCCTTCTCTGCATAATCATGACCGATCCTCCTCCTCACCCCTGAAATTGAAATACTTGCTAGCTAATCAATGCTGATGTACAATCCCCAATATTATTGTTTGACCAGTACATGTAGTTCTCCATAATCAGTCATTTGCGACCCCTCTCCCTACCCCAGTAATTCAACTCCTTGCTGCCCAATGAATACTGATGTATGAACCCCAGATTATGGCTTAACCAGCCGTTCTCCACCTACCCTGTAAGTCGTGTGCCACCTCCCTCCCCACTCCTGTAATTGAAGTCATGTGCTACCTATCTCCCCACTCCTGTAATTGAAGTCGTTTGCTACCTCCCTCCCCACTCCTGTAACTTAAGTCGTGTGCTACCTATCTCCCCACTCCTGTAATTGAAGTCATGTGCCACCTCCCTCCCCACTCCTGTAACTTAAGTCATGTGCTACCTATCTCCCCACTCCTGTAATTGAAGTCATGTGCTACCTACCTCGCCACTCCTGTAACTTAAGTCGTGTGCTACCTATCTCCCCACTCCAGTAATTGAAGTCGTGCGCTACCTATCTCCCCACTCCTGTAACTCAAGTCATGCTTGATCTCTCTCCCCACCCTTTCAATTCAATTCCTTGCTAGCCAATCAATGTATCAACCCCCAGATTATGCTAACCTAATATTTTTCATATTTGTCATGTTGTATTGATTATGCTGTTTTCACATGAGTGTAGTATTACTATATTATATGTTAAGTAAATGGTTTCTTCTTGTTAATGATATTAATTAGTTTAAAGTGTGTATGTGGATGTGGAATGTTTCTCTAGAAGCCTACACGACCGACCGTGTGTAACAATAATATCCATAGGAATAATATAAACTAGCCTACTTGAAATAGCTCAGATTACCGATTTCATCACAACATAAGCTAAATTAGATTTAATACATTTAATTAGTATTGTTATTCCCTTCTATAAAATTGTCTTAATTGATATACAGCTTATATATACAAATGTTTCCATATTAGGACAAGGCTAATAAGTACATGCATAGTAATTTGAATTTTGAAAATGAAATCAAATATATAATAATAATAATAAAAACTTTATTTAATGAGGCAACATATTTAGTTTGCAAAAAAAAAACCCCAAACTAATCTTCCATAGGTCCCTCCTTAGCTACAAAGACATATATACATGTAATATTAGGATAAATTTAACATCCCACTATTCTGCTCCGACTGGGTTAATGAAGACGGGCATATGCCATACAGAGTGCTATGAGGGAAATTTTGCCCAGACAGGGTCAAGGCTTCTGTATGCCAATGTGTATATGGAACCTTGGTTTTTTGCCCCATCCGAACAATTAGAATGCTGTCCTTGTTTGGCCCACTGTCCTGCACCACTGACAAGGGGAAACTACACTGGAAAATCCGGAAGAACTTTCTTGGCCAACACCGTTCGCGAAACCTTCTGGGCCACCATGTCTCCCCAACGTGAATTTTGAATAATTTGCATAATATAGTAATTCAGATATAACTGTTTAAAAGAGTTCATGGGCCCTGTTTCTCGAAATCTTAGCTAAAGATAAAATCCAGCTTTAGTATATAATCCAATTTGATTGGCTAAGCACTAAAATCAAGCTAATATTATCCAATCAAATTACTAAAATTTGAAATTTATCTTAGTTAATAAAAAGAGAAGTTCACAATTTTTATGGAAAGCAATAACTGGTTTGTACATATATACATATAGCACAACATATCGACACATGTTTACTAATTATTTTTCAGCACAAATGTGTCCACTACGTAAACCAGTGATTGTTTTTGTTCTGTAAATTGTGTTGTCTTTTTTAAGATTTGTTATTTCCTGCTGCTAAAGACCCCTTTGCACCAGTGAATTATTGAAATAAATTTGAACCATGTGGTAGTCCAAAAATGACCTAGTTTGTGTCGAGTGGACTTTAACCCCATCTCTCTCTCTCTCTCTCTCTCTCTCTCTCTCTCTCTCTCTCTATCTCTCTCTTTTTAAGGTTTCATGTGTGTTACAATGTGCAGAAATTACTGGAATTTGGATTTGCGTTTCCTCACATTTTTCAAACCTTATTCTCATTTGTCAGAGGTAGTACGGTACCTGTGGTGCTGATACATGTATTATTTATGTAATGTAAGTAAAGGTGTTTCGTAATCTTTCGTACAGGATGAAAAAAATGAGGTCTACCTATATGTACACATTGGGTTGCGTAATCTTTCGTACAGGATGTAAAAATTGAGTTCTACATATTATGTAAACATTGGGTTGCGTAATCTTTCGTACAGGATGAAAAAAATGAGGTCTACCTATATGTAAACATTGGGTTGCGTAATCTTTCGTACAGGATGTAAAAATTGAGTTCAACCTATATTAATACAAAAGAACAAAGGTGTGTATATACATAGTTAAAATGTCAAACACACATATTAAAATGAGAGAGAGAGAGAGAGATGGGGTTTAACGTCCACTCGACACAAACTAGGTCATTTCGGGACTAACATATGGTTTTTAATTTTATTTCAATAATTCGCTTGCGCGTAGGGGTCTTTAGCAGTGGGAGGAAACCGGAGGACCCGGAGAAAACCCACGAGGTTGGACAGGCGACCCTACTCCTTGTCACGTACAACCGGGGATTTGAAACCACGCCAGTTGACTCAATGACAGGCCGTATGATACAGCACGCACGTGCTAACCATTCGGCCACCCAACCCCCCCTATATTAAAATGG